CTCTCGCGTTTGTTCTTATTAGTTTGGTTGCCTTTTTGTGTGTACGTGTGTTTGTGGGATGTGAGTTTTTATTTATTGGTGTTTTAGGTCGTATTTCTTTCTTTCAATAAGGGATGGTCAGGAAAGCTGATAAAGAAAAGTGAAAATACAGGTAGCCAGCGAACGCCCCCGGAAGGCCCTATTTTCTTTCTCTCCCCTTTCCTGTTTCTGTTCAGCCTTTGTTTTCTGTGCACTCAATGGCCGCTTTTGTGTCGTTATGCTTGTCTTTACTCAGACAGAAGTGAAAGTGGGTGGTTGACGGGTGCTATGGTGTGGTTTGCTTCTTCTTTCCTATCAAACATCTATCGTCCTTATCTCCCCTTCTTCTTTTTTATGTTTGTAACTCTCTTGTAACACCTCTAATCTTCTGGCGCTCATATGACCTTATGCAGTTGCGAGCGCCGTAAAACCTCTACTAAAAAACAGAAGTGAAAGGAATGGTATGGAATAGAGTGGAGAGGGGGGGTGTAAGGGACTTCGGGGTGGAACAACGTTTGTTCCACATAATTGCCATGAGCAACATGTCGACTAGAATGGAGTATTATTATACATTTTTAAAACTAGGGTTATGGCACTTCTGTTTGATTATGTTGTTGCAAGGAAGGATGCAAGATGGAAGATTGGGAGGGCGTGTGGGGTCGAAAAGAGTGTGCTGAGGCGTGGGGTAGAATGAAGATGAGAAGAAATCATAACAGCAATTTCTTCGCTGCGGGTTTGCTGTGATCGGAATGGTAATTGAATCAAACATGGCTACATACAACTGACTTGAGTGTGACTGTATGAATCGATACTCCCCTGAGCGCTCGTGTGCCCTTTCATTTCATTTTATGTCACTGTTGGTTGTTGTTGTTGTTGTTGTTGTTGTTGTTGTTGTTGTTGTAGTTTTTGTCGTTGTCGTTGTATACGTTGATGGTGTTTGTTACTTGTTGCTGATGTTGTTGTATTTGTTGTTGAAGTTAAATCGTGTCGTATTTCTACTAAAGCTGTGGAGGCTATGGCTGGGATATTGGGAGGTAGTTGGATGTGCATGTGCCTCTGACATACAGACTCTCTCTCTCTCTCTCTCTCTCTCTCTCTCTCTCTC